CCTCCCCAATTTGATATCCAATTTTTCTTTATCTAAATCATTTGATACCCTCATCACCTTACTCTTTTCTATGTTCACTTTCAACTTTCTACCTTTACACACATTCCCAAACTCATCCACTAACCTTTGCAATTTTTCTTTAGAATCTCCCATAAGCACAGTATCATCAGCAGAAAGTAAATGTGTCAATTCCCATTTTGAATTTGATTCCCCAAAATTTAATCCCACCCCTCTCCCGAACACCCTAGCATTTACTTCCTTTACAACCCCATCTATAAATATATTAAACAACCATGGTGACATTACACATCCCTGTCTAAGACCTACTTTTACCGGGAAGTAGTCTCCCTCTCTTCTACACACCCCAACCTGAGCCTCACTATCCTCATAAAAACTCTTTACAGCATTTAATAACTTACCACCTATTCCATATACTTGCAACATCTGCCACATTGCTCCTCTATCCACTCTATCGTATGCCTTTTCTAAATCCATAAATGCAATAAAAACTTCCCTTCCTTTATCTAAATACTTTTCACATATATGCTTCAATGTAAACACTTGATCTACACATCCCTACCCACTCTGAAACCTCCTTGCTCATCCGCAATCCTACATTCTGTCTTACCTCTAATTCTTTCAATTATAACCCTACCGTACACTTTTCCTGGTATACTCAGTAAACTTATTCCTCTATAATTTTTACAATCTCTTTTGTCCCCTTTCCCTTTATATAAAGGGACTATACATGCTCTCTGCCAATCCCTAGGTACCTTCCCCTCTTTCATACATTTATTAAACAAAAGTACGAACTACTCCAACACTATATCCCCCCCTGCTTTTAACATTTCTGTCATGATCCCATCAGTTCCAGCTGCTTTACCCCCTTTCATTCTACGTAATGCCTCATGTACCTCCCCCACACTTACATTCTGCTCTTCTTCACTCCTAAAAGATGGTATACCTCCCTGACCAGTGCATAAAATTACTGCCTCTCTTTCTTCCTTAACATTTAAAAGTTCCTCAAAATATTCTCGCCATCTACCTAATACCTCCATCTCCCCATCTACTAACTCCCCTACTCTGTTTTTAACTGACAAATCCATACTTTCCCTAGGCTTTCTTAACTTGTTTAACTCCAAAATTTTTTCCTATTTTCATTAAAATTTCGCCTCTCCCACTCTATCATCTGCTCTCCTTTTGCACTCTCTCACCACTCTCTTTACCTTTCTTTTACTCTCCATATACTCTGCTCTTCTTGTAACACTTCTGCTTTGTAAAAACCTCTCATAAGCTACCTTTTTCTCTTTTATCACACCCTTTACTTCATTCATTCCACCAATCACTCCTCTTTCCTCCTGCCCCACCCTCCTATAACCACAAACTTCTGCCCCACATTTTTAATACTGCATTTTTAAAACTTTTTTCCAACCCTCTTCAACCCCCCAACTACTCTATCTTTGCACTAGCCCACCTTTCTGCCAATAGTCGCTTATATCTCACCCGAACTTCCTCCTCCCTTGTTTTTTTAACTTTCACCTCCCTCTTACTTGTTGCCACCTTCCTCTTTTCCCATCTACCTCTTACCCTAACTGTAGTTTACAAACAAAATAAATGATCCGATATTTCAGTTGCCCCTCTATAAACATGTACATCCTGGAGCCTACCCATCAACCTTTTATCCACCATTACATAATCTAATAAACTACTTTCATTACGTGATACATCATACCTAGTATATTTATTTATCCTCTTTTTCATAAAATATGCATTATTTATTACCAAATCTCTTTCTACACATAGCTCAATTAAAGGTTTCCCCTTTTAAACATTTACCCCTGGCACCCCAAATTTCCCTACTACTCCCTCCATAAATTTTTACCCCACTTTAGCATTGAAATCCCCAACCCCCAATTACTCTCACACTTGATTCAAAACTCCCCATGCATTCACTCAACTATTCCCAAAATCTCTCTCTCTCCTCTAAAATTCTCTCTTCTCCAGGTGATACACGCTTATTATAACCCACTTTTACACCCAAATCTTTATTTTTACTCCACTAATCCTTGAATTAATACATTTATAGTCCTTCTTTTCCTGCCATGCTTATCCTTCAACATTATTGCTACCCCTTCTTTAGCTCTAACTCTATTTGAAACCCCTAAACCCAATCCCATTTATTCTCTCCATTGAAACTCTCCCACCCCTTTCAGCTTTGTTTCACTTAAAGCCAGGATATCCAGCTTCTTCTCATTCAAAACATCCACAATCATCTCTTTTTTTATTTGCACAACATCACGCACATTCAGACTTCCCACTTTGACAATTTTTTTCTTCTTATTCTTTTTAGTAATCTTTACAGGAAAAGGGGTTACTAACCATTGTTCCCGGCATTTTAGTTGACTTTTACAACACGCATGGCTTACGGAGGAAAGATTCTTATTCCATTTCCCCCTGGATATAAAAGGAAAAGTAATAAGACCAAGAACTATTAAGATAAAATCAAAGAAAACTCAGATGAGTGTGTATAAATAAATGTGTACATGTATGTGTAGTGTGACCTAAGTGTAAGTAGAAGTAGCAAGACATACCTGTAATCTTGCATATTTATGAGACAGACAAAAGACATCAGCAATCCTACCATCATATAAAACAATCAGAGGCTTTCGTTTTACACTCACTTGGCAGGACGGTAGTACCTCCCTGGGTGGTTGCTGTCTACCAACCTACTACCATTTCTTATTTATAAATACATTATTCTTATTTATTAACCCATAACAAAAAATTTTGGGTGTTTTTTGGTGGGGCTGGAATGGATTAATGGCATTTCAATTAATTTCAGTGAGGAAAATTGATTTGATATGTGAGCAAATTGAGTTACGAGCTTGGTCACGGAACAAATTAAACTCGTAAGTCAAGGTACCACTGTATACATATATGAAAGACTGAAATCAGTTATCTTGCACATGGAGAGAAAATAATGTTAAAGGAAGACCGAGATACATTCATGAATACAACTACTGTCAAGCCATTACAAATGGCTTTGTCAAGCTGTTTGTAATGGCTTGACAAAGCTCCTGGAGAGCGAAATGTTGCCACAATAAAATGTCACATTAGTTGCACCTGTGTCCTATTACCTAACATACTGCAAGATTACATTATAAAGCTAAACTTATTTTTATATATGAAACTCATGACTTACATTAAAACGTACTCAACCCTTTAATAGTTAATGATGTAGATCTACGAGTGTGAAGGAAACTGTTCAAAATAATGGCAATCCTTGAATCAAATTCCCCTCACAAATGTTACATTCATGAGTTCAATAAATCAATCATTCAAACTTTATGAACAACCTCAGACAAAGAGACTGTTTGAAATGTAGTGTCTTGTTCTAGACAACACAATTACTATCCTTAATTCAAGCCATGTATAAAAAATTAGCAAGGAAAGCATAATGCAATTATAGTACTGATGCACACTAGTGCATGGTACTAATATGGTTCTCATATAGAAAAATACAGGCAAAGTAATAATGGCTTATGTTTCATTAACAAATCTGAATCAATTAAATTTAATAATTTATTGTATAATTTATTTGTTAAAAGATACTGGACAAAAGATTTGCTATGGATTAAAGCTTGCTTTGCTGCACTTCAATAAATTTAGGACAAAATATATGACAGACCTAAAGCTATAGCCTTGTTTAGCTTACAGGTGCAGCCAGTCCTGCCCTTTGAAGAAGATTCAAAACAGGGAGAACTAGAATAGTACCCCAACACAAAAACCATTTCATTCCACAATCATATAAATTAAATAATCGCCACCTCTCCAAATGTTCCAATATCTCACATCATTGAAGATTACATATATATATAAGTGACTATTACAATTTCAAGTAGTACAGTATATGTACATATGCTTAATTCAACATTAACCCTTTGAGGGTCCAGAGCCCTGATCTGAGACTTGTCCATAGATTCCAAGAATTTTCAAAAAAAAATTCTGTTATTTTCTCTTATGAGATGGTAGAGAATCTTTTTTCCAAAGGTGATAAAACAAAAAGTACGAAATTTGATGTAAAATTGACGAAATTACGCTGGCGTGAATTTTGGTGTGTCAGTGATATTTATGCACTGGTGACAATTACATTGTTCCAGTCGACCAAATTCTTAGCTATTTCACTAGTACGCCTTCCATTTTAGTGACTGAGCACAAGAAACTGCCCATTCATCTATTTCAACTACCCAATAAAATAATCAGAAATTAGTAATTTTGCCAATTTCACACAAATTTCAAAATAGGGTCCAGAATAAAAAATGCAGGTATTCCTGGCATTAAAATACCATTTCTTCTGTTCAATAGTCATGTTTCCAGGTTTTACACATGAATTCCATTTTTTTTTTTATTTATACAACGAATTTTTATTCACACCAAAAAATGATATTTACTGTAAAGGAATATTTTAATAATTGTATAAATAATATCAGTGCATTCATGGATGCGTGATGTGATTTATTTACTCTTGAACATCAGTAAAAATCAAACATTTCCACTAGTTTGAGCTCAACTTCAAGCTATTTTCCATCCTAAAACCAATGAAAATTATCTCCATTTCTATAATATATCTTCCATTCTATCAAATGAGACCGAGAAACCGTGAATACAACGATAAAAGTCACATGAAAATACACCACAAAGTCGCTATATTAAACTAAAAACATAGCCGCAGTTTTTTTTCTCATTATACACTGCGTGCTGCAGGATATTTTTATATGGTGTAAACTTATCACACAGACCCATTCTCTCATATATAGGACCAAATTTACTGCTCACGGCTTATCTGAATGAGCTGAGCTCATCACATAGTACTATGGCACGGACCCTGGCTTCAAATCCGTAGGACCACCGCATGGACCCTCAAAGGGTCAAAGAACAATCTGAGACATCAGCTCTTGATCCACTACAAAAATTTAATAAAATAAGTCGTGATTCCTCACCTCTGTCTAATCTTGGAGGAGGACGATACTTGTATCCTGGCTGACTCCAATAAACTGGTACAGAGCCACGCACCTGAAAGCACATATCTAGTTACATAACCAAAATATAAATTTTAATGACCGTCAGCAGGGTAACATTTATGAATGGATTCAGGGAAGCCAGTTAGCCCAACTCAAGTCCTGGTAGTAATGTAATAGCTAAAAATTAACTCATAAAGGTTACCTAGGAGAAGAACATAAGAACATAAGAACGAAGGAACACTGCAGAAGGCCTACTGGCCCATGCGAGGCAGGTCCAAGTCTCCTACCGGCTTAAGCCAAAGCACCCAACCTAACAGGTCAGGTCACATTGACTTAAGGGAGGAACACGGCAACCGACCTGTTAGCACAAGCTATCAGGTCCAACTCACACCCACCCACATCTACTCATGTATTTATCCAACCTATTTTTAAAGCTACACAACGTTCTGGCCTCTATACGGTACTTGGGAGTTTGTTTCCACTCATCCCCAACTCTATTACCAAACCATACTTTCCTATATCCTTCCTGAATCTGAATTTTTCCAACTTAAAACCATTTCTGCGAGTCCTGTCTAGGCTAGATATTTTCAGCACACTATTTACATCCCCTTTATTTATTCCTGTCTTTTCCCCTTATACACCTTTATCATATCCCCCTAATTCTACGTCTTTCCAGAGAGTGCAGTTTCAGGCCCCTTTGTCTATCCTCATAGGGAAGGTTTTGATACATGGGATCATCTTTGTCATCCTCCTTTGTACATTTTCCAGAGAATTTATATCCATTCTGTAATACGGTGACCAAAACTGTGCAGCATAATCTAAATGAGGCCTAACCAAGGATGTAAAGAGTTGAAGAACAAACCCGAGGACTCCTATTATTTATGCTTCTTGATATGAAGCCAAGGATTCTATTAGCTTTATTGCGAACACTTATGCACTGTTGTCTTGGTTTCAGATTTACTGCTAACCAGAACTCCTAAATCTTTTTCGCAATCCATAATATTAAGATCTACATTATTTAGTTTATATGTGGCATGGTTATTGTCCTGTCCAACATTTTGAACTCTGCATTTGTCTATATTAAACTGCATCTGCCACTTCTCCGACCACTCCCATCAGTCTATTCAAATCTTCCTGGAGTGCTCGAATGTCCTCGTCAGAATGAATTCGACGGCCCTATTTTGGTGTCATCGGCAAACTTGCCGATGTCGCTCTTTATGCCCTCATCTATGTCGTTTATGTAGATTGTGAACAGCAGGGGGCCCAACACTGACCCTGTGGAAACCCCGCTCGTGACGCTTCCCCACTCTGATTTCTCCCCATTTATGCAAACTCTCTGCTGCCTATTTGTCAACCATGCCTTTCCGGGAAAAAAAATTTCTCCTCCTATTCCATTGTGCTTTAATTTTCCTCAATAGTCTTGATGTGGGACCCTGTCAAAAGCCTTACTGAAGTCCATATACACAATATCATATTCATTACCATGATCTACCTCCTCAAATACCTTAGTGAAAAAGTTAATAAATTCGTAAGGCAGGAACGCCCCTTTGTAAAACCATGCTGAGATTCGTTGGGGTTAATTTTGCTTTTCAAGGTGGCTACGAACTGCCTCGGCAATTATTTTATTCCATAAATTTTCCCCCTATGGAGGTTGGTTATTGGGCTATAGTTCGAAGCTAAGGACCTGTCACCTGTTTTGAAAATAGGTATCACATTTGCCATTTTCCCCTTATCTGGCACCATGCCAGTTTGTAGTGATATGTTGAAAAGATTAGCCAAAGGTGTGCTAAGCTCCTCTTTTCTTTCCTTTAGAACCTTGCATACAGTTCATCAGGGCCTGGGGATTTGTTAGGTTTTAATTTATCTATTTGCCTAAGGACCATGTCACTTGTGACCCTAATTGTGACAGTTTATTAAGTCCTGTTCTACATAATTTAATCATTACTGGACTATCGCTGGTAATCCAACTGTGTAAAAACTGAGAGGATGTATGTGTTAAATATTCTACAAATTTCCTTCTCACTGTCAGTGAGCTGACCGGAGAGAACTTTTGAGTGGGCCTAATTCTGGTCCCTGATATTACTTCTGTATACCTTGAAAGAATTCCTTTGGGTTAGTCTTCGCTTCTCTTGCAACTTTAACCAATAATCTCTTTTTGCGTTTCTAATTACCTTTTTTATTTCTCTCTTTAACTGAATATATCGATTTTCTTAATTGCCCCTCTCCTCTTTTGATTTGCCTTATATGACTCTCTTTTGACCCAATAGATATTTTAATCTATTGTTCAATCCATTTAGATCATTTTTGTTGAATCTGAAATTGTGTATCCTATTTGGAACATATTTTGACTGAGCAGCAGCCAGAAACTATGCCCTGGAAAGCATCATATCGGCAAACCATCACCACCTAACTGACCTTTAGTCAGGGTCATTTCCAGTTCAGCCCACCTAAGAATTTTTTCAGTCCTATGAATTCAGCCAAGCGAAAAGTCAGGGACGGAGACAGATTTGCCATTATTAGGAGGAATTCCATGATATGTTAAATACTTGAGTTGTGATTTTGTGATCACTCTCCCCAACGCTCATCATTTAACCTCAAGGATTATTAAATTAGTGTTTCCCTATGGCAAGAACCAAGTCAGGAGGTTATCTTCCAATAGTTGGCTCTGTCACAAACTGTTTTAAAAGCAATCCTGGATCGTATCAAGAAAGTCACCCGACTCTAAATTTTCCTGTCAAAATTGCTCACCCAGTCATCTGTCTATAGTTGAAATCTCCCATTAGCACAACATTTTACGTATGTAGTTGCCTTACGATTTTAGTTCCCAAGAAGTTTAACTGCACTCCTATCAGATTTGGGCCCTGCTAAATCACACCTAAAATTAGTTTTTCTCGGCCTCGAGAAGCTGTAACCAAACAGATTCAGTGGCTGCGCTTCTAATTTAATATCTTGTCTAACACAACAATTTAAATTGTCTCTGTACATCGCTACTCCACCACATTTCATGTTGAACCTGTCAGTGTCGGAATAATTTTTAGCCTTGTTATGTGACATTCAGAGGGCATCTCTCTATCTTCAGATTGAGGGGGGCCCAAGGTCTTCTGTTATAGCAATTAATATCTATGTTTCCTGCACTTGCAATTAATCTTAGCCATCTATTCTTATTTTCTAACACTCCTGCTATTAGTATAGTAATCCTTAAGGAGCTAGTCCCTTGACTGCCCTCTGCTGTCCCCCTTTGTTTGCTGACCTGTTCTATTGTCTTTATTGTTAACTTCATGCGGTAATGCATTTTTACATTTACTGTTTACAAACCCTAGTGTTGCAACCTGCTTGTTTCCCACAACACCCATACCCTATACATCATCAGTTTTAAATCTTAGGCATTTCACCAATGGCATTTCAATCGAGTCATGCAAGTGCTACCACCCCCTGACCCAGTGAGAGTACCCTTCCCTTGCATACATATCATGTTTGCATTAAAAGTTGTTCCAGTTGTCAATGAATGGAATTGCAAGTCCTTGCAGTATCTGTTTAGCCAGGAATTTACACCAATTGCCCTAGCACAACATTCAATTTCCTTAATACCTTACTAGGCAAGATGCTACATATGATGGGATCCTCCCTTAGGGACTTAATGAAATCTATTGCTGACTGTACTTATCTTGCTGTCTTCTCTCCTACACTTCCCATATCATTTCCACAGCATGGACAGATAATGGGCTTGGTCCCATTACCTGACATGATATTATCCAGCACTGTTGACAATTGTCCCCAACACCAGCCTCAAGGAAGACACACTCTATCTCTCATTTCTTATTCTATTACAAAAAGCACGGTCAACATATTCTTACTGAGAGTCACCAAACCACAAGAATGTGCTGACCTTCATTAGCAGGGGCAGTAGTACATACCTTCAATGGCCACTTGAAGTAAATTCATCTGGAGAACAGAGAAGCGATTTAATTACTTCAGATATTCTCTATTAACTTTCCTTATATGATGAGCCCTCCCTTTACTTGGAACACTCGGCCACTTGTAGCTGGTGCTGGACTGACACCTCACTGCTGGTAGCCGTTGCTTCCTCCCACCTACAGAATATCACAGTGTGAGACAGTATGAACCCCACTGCTAGAAGCTCCATTCCCTACTTATCAAACACCTCACACTATCTAACAGGCCCTTTGAGGTGGACCTTCAGCACCTACTAATTCTCCTCACTGGAGAAGCTAGACCTACTCCTTCAAATCTCCAACCTCAGATTTTAAAACATGCAGAAAGCAGCCATGCCTTTGTAACCGTCCCACGCTAATCCCCAAAGAAGCTCGGGTCTGTGACCTCTGGCTGAGGAGAAAAGCTACACACAAGTGCATACTCTTTTTTTTTTTTCAACAAACCGGCCATATCCCACCAAGGCAGGGTGGCCCAAAAAAGAAAAAACGAAAGTTTCTCTTTTTAAATTCAGTAATTTATACAGGAGAAGGAGTTAACTAGCCCCTTACTTCGGCATTTCACTAGCCTACTCACAACATGAATTGGAGTTACGGCAGGAAGATATAAAATTTTTTTCTGTCTCACTTCCCAATGGAGGTAAGAGGAAATAAACAAGTACAGGAACTAGAAAGAAAAATAGTGAAAACCCTGAGGGGTGTGTGTAATATATGCTTGTACATGTATGTGGGTTATTGAGGGGTTGGGATTAATTTATGGGGAATCAAATTCAAAAACGGAAATTGACACAGTTACTTTTTGCTGAGATACTGTGCATATGGAGGATTCTAAGAAAAATTGCAAAGGTTAGTGGATGAGATTGGGTATGTGTGTAAAGGTAGAAAGTTGAAAGTGAACATAGAAAAGAGTAAGGTGATGCGGGTATCAAAGATTTAGATAAAGAAAAATTTGCAACACAATAAGGGGAGGGAGGAGCATGGAAGAAGTGAATGCTTTCAGATACTTGGGAGTTGAAGTGTGTCGGCGGATGGATTTATGGAAGGATGAGGTTAGTCATAGAGTGATGAGGGAAAAAAGGTGAGTGGTGCGTTTGAGGTTTAGTGGATGTCAAAATACTTTATCTATGGAGGCAAAGAAGGGAATACCAAGTATGAAAGTATATTGTACCAACATCTTATATGGTGTGAAGCTTGGGTGGTAAATGCAGCAGTGAGGAGACGGTTGGTAGGAAGTGGAGATTCCTGTCTAAGTGCAATGTATGTGTAAATGATTATGCAGAAAATTTGGAGTGTGGAAAATTAGGAAAGGTATGGAGTTAATAAAGTATTAGTCAGAGGGCTGAAGAGGGGTTGTTGAGTGTTTGGTCATTTAGAGAGAATGGAACAAAGTAGAATGACATGGAAAGCATATAAAATCTTTAGAGGATGGAAGGCGGGGTAGGGGTCTTCTCGAATGAGTTGGAGAGTGGGGGGACATAAAAGGAGGTTTTGTGGGCAAGGGGCTTGGACTTCCAGCAAGGGTGCATGAGCGTGTAGATAGGAGTGAATGGAGACGAATAGTACTTGGGACCTGACGATCTGATGGAGTGTAAGCAGGGTAATATTTAGTGAAGGGATAAGCGAAACGGTTTATTTTCATATAGTCGGACTTGAGTCCTGGAAATGGGAAGCACAATGCAGCACTTTAAAGGAGGGTTTGGGATATTGGCAGTTTGGAGGGATATGTTGTGTATCTTTATATGTATATACTTCTAAACTGTTGTATTCTGAGCACCTCTGCAAAAACAGTGATAATGTGTGTGTGTGGTGAAAGTGTTGAATGATGATGAAAGTATTTTTCTTTTTGGGGATTTTCTTTCTTTTTTGGGTCACCCTGCCTCGGTGGGAGACGGCTGACTTGTTAAAAAAAAAAAAAAAATGTATGTGTAGTGTGACCTAAGTGTAAGTAGAAGTAGCAAGACATACCTGAAATCTTGCATGTTTATGAGACAGAAAAAGAGGACACCAGCAATCCTACCATCATGTAAAACAATTACAGGCTTTTGTTTTACACTCACTTGGCAGGACGGTAGTACCTCCCTGAGTGGTTGCTGTCTACCAACCTGCTACCTATACAAGTGCATACATGTTAGACAAAGAGACAAGCTTTGAGAGTCAAATTATTTAGCACATTAAATGTCATCAAGACTCAAGCTCTGGAATATGCAAAAGACAGAGTCAGAAATAACTATGGACAACTGACCAAGCACTCGAAGAAATCAAAATACAGATACATTATACAAGCTCACCAGAACAAAGGCAACTCGATGATGGGAATATGACACTATTTGTTCAGTTTCAACGTAGTTGGCAACATGGCCTTCTTCATCCACACCACGTCGCTTGTACCTGGTCCCAGCTCGATAACGACTTCTTCGAGATATTAGTGTCAATGTATAATGATCACGATTCTGCAAGAAAATATTAATGCATGTAAACCATAGAAAATTTATGTATTCAATACAGCCTCTCCTCACTTAACGACAGAGTTCCGTTCCTAAGACCATGTCAGCAAATGAATTCGTCACTTAGTGAGGAGCATACTATAATGGTAGTGGGTTTGTCTCAACTTCTTTCTTTCAGATATTATTTTAATGTCACCTTTGCACCTTTTATAACATTTCGGCCTTTTTTTTTTTTTTCAACAAGTCGGCCGTCTCCCACCTAGGCAGGGTGACCCAAAAAGAAAGAAAATTCCCAAAATGAAAATACGTACTTTCATCATCATTCAACACTTTCACCTCACTCATACATAATCACTGTTTTTGCAGAGGCGCCCAGATACAATAGTTTAGAAGCATATATTTAGAAGCAGATCTTTTTAAATACAGTATTACAGTATGCGGTACACTACTGTATTTATACAGTAGTGTACTGCATACTGTAATAAACAGTACAGAGGAAATCAGCTTAATATACACTATTTAGGTATTCATACTGATTGGAGAGCTGGTCGTATGTTAGAGTGATCGGTAAACGAATATGTCACTAAGTCAGGAGAGGCTGTGTTGTATTAATAAAGCCACTGGATGGCAAAACGTCTACAAGTAAAAATACGCAGATGTTGCACTTGTCTAATTCATCATTTAGCATAGTCGTTCTGTTCATTAATCCACTCATTTTCTTTTTAGTATTGCTGTTTGGTGGGAAGGTATACCCATGCTTAGCCTGGGTGTGTCTCATCTAAAGCTGAAGTGTGATACAGTTTAATGTCAGTCAAAAGAAAAGAAAGCGGAATGAAGAGGAGCAAAAATGCAAAGCAGTATACCCAGAGAGGTTTTTGGGGGTCAACATCCCCGCGGCCCGGTCTGTAACCAGGCTTCGCAGTGTAAAAGAGTATAACAATAGCAATAGATGGGCTAGGATGGTCATCTGAATTTTGATGTATATACTCTTCTGGTCAGACAAAATGAGTGCTGACATGGAGAAAGCACAAATTGTACATAGAACCTTCAAGGCACACATTTTTTTTTTTTTTTTTTCAACAAGTCAGCCGTCTCCTAAATTACTGTGAACGGTTGAAGTTCCTTGATTTGTATTCCCTGGAACGCAGGCGAGAAAGATACATAATATATTCTTAGAAAATCCTAGAGGAATCAGTACCAAATTTGCACATGAAAATCACTCCCTACAAAAGCAAAAGACTTGGCAAGTGTCAGGAGCCCAAGACTGTTCAATTGTCTTCCAACATATATGAGGTGGACCACCAATAGTTCCCTGGCAATCTTCAAGAAGTCACTGGACAGGCACCTAAAGTCAGTACTGAGCAGCTGAGCTGTGGTTTGTCGGCCGGTTTGCGTGCAACCATCAGTAACAGCCTGGTTGGTAAGGACCTGATCCACTATGAGGCCTGGCCACAGACCGGGACATGGGGGCATTGACCCCCCCAAAACCCTCTCCAGGTATACTTCAAGTATAGTGAGAAATGACTGATGTGTTAAAAAAGACACCTCTAAAGACTTTTCTTGCTGCCCTCTAGCATATAAAATGTTAATTCATAACTCTTACTACATTCTAACAATGTGTTTTACGTTTCTACTCAAAACAGTATGCATCATTCATAGTCAGAAAGTATAATACAATGTTTACCTACCTGTTTATCCAGGGAATCATCAGGGGAGGTTGCAGTTGCATCTGCATCAAGGGGTACAGCTTCTGTCTGTACAAAGCCTTGTATCACAGGAACAATCCAGGCATCAAAATTTGATGACTGCCAATAAAAAGCATTGCATTATATTATTATTTAGTCAGGTGAAAATAATATGCACATTGATAAGAAGCAAAAAAGATAAAGTAAGACTGTATCTAAGGGTTAGGGCAAAAAAAGAGTCTTGAAATACCAGTTGATTAAGATGATTTTCATATTAGTAAAGAAAGATTTACAAATGATTATGATAAATTCTGAGTTCAAGCACATATAACAGTAACTTCGACGCCAAGTGTTTCTGTTAAGGTTTCCAGCCCTCATCTACAGTCTGAACATTCACTTGTTCTGCAAGAATTAAAAGTGAATGATACACAACAAAAAACTTTTCCCTAACAAATCTGTGAATAAACTGATATTAAATATTTTTTAACAAAGCTTAAGCTATATTTTTTTTTAACATGTCAGCCATTTCCTACTGAGGCAGGGTGACCCTAAGAGAAAGAAAAACCCAAGAAAGAAAAAACTTTCATCATCATTCAACACTTTCACCATCACTCATACAAAATCACCGTCTTTGCAGAGGCACTCAGATACGCAGTTTAGATGTCCCTCCAAACTGCCAATATCCCAAACCCCTCCTTTAAAGTGCAGGCATTGCACTTGCCATTTCCAGGACAAAAGTCCGACAAACTGGTTTCCCTGAATCCCTTCACAAAATATTACCCTGCTCACACTCCAACAGCTCATCAGGTCCCAAAAACCATTTGTCTCCATTCACTCCTATCTAACATTCATGTACGCTTGCTGGAAGTTTTAAATATTTAACCAATTAAAATGACTTATGTTATTAGATCAAAAATACAGTGCTACTGTACAGTGGAACCTCAAAAATCAAATGTATCACGTATCGAACGTTTCGAAAATAAGACCATTTTTTTGGACAAACTGTCCCTATTATCGAACGCGCCCCTATTTTCGGACCGCCGGGTACGAGACCTGTCTGCCGCCCACTCTGTCCGCGTCCCCGCGCAGGCGCCGTGAGCAGTCTAGCTTTGTTTATGCTTGAGTGAACACTAACCTGCACTCTCATTCACGCATTTTACGATTATTTTGTTGTGTTTAGTGCTTGTGGGACTGTGAAATAAGCTGCCATGGGCCCAAAGAAACTTGCTAGTGGTACCCCTGTGATAAAGAAAGTGAGAAACACCATAGATGTGAAGAAGGAAATAATACAGAAGTATGAGAGTGGTGTGAGACTTGAGCTTGCCAGGATGTATGGGAAAAAACAAGTCGACAATCGGTTCTATCCTGACAAAGAAAGAACAAATCAAGGAAGCTGATGTTGCAAAAGGTGTTAATATAGGGAGTGGATGAGGTGCCTTCTTCAAAGATTAAGGAGATTTGTGCCAAGTGGAATGATGTCCAAATGTTTGTGCAGAAGTACCACCCTGAGCAAGCTGAAACAAGCCATCTTTGCAACAAGTTCAGTGACAGAACCATGTCCCATTTTAGGGAAATGTTAAAGAGGCGCCAGAAACAGAGGACTGTGGACAGTTATTTTGTGAGACAGGGGTCCAGTGACTCTCAAGCTGGTCCTAGTGGCATTAAAAGACAGAGAAGGGAAGTAACCCCAGAGAGGGCTTTACCTGAAGTCCTCATGGAGGGGGATTCTCCTTCCAAACACTAACCCCAACTAACTCTCTCCTCCTCCCTATCTTCCAGATGCCATCACCAATCTTCAATAAAGATAAGTAAAAATGTTATTTTATATGTATTACTATACATAATTAAAAACTATAGTATTTGTTGTATATAAAACTGTAATTAATCTCTATAAAATGTATTTTTTGTGTGAATATTTTAGGGTTTCTGGAACGGATTAATTGTATTTCCATTATTTCTTATGGGAAATATTGCTTCGAATTTCAGACTTTTCGAATTTAGAACTAGCTCCTGGAACGGATTAAGTTCGATTTTTGAGGTTCCACTGTATTTAATCCTTAAACTGTCCAAACATATATCTACTTTCACTCGCGTAGCGCTCAGAATGTAGATCTACACTTTATTTTACAGTAGACCGTCGATTAACACGGTTTTGTCTGGCAAGAGGCGTGGAGTTAAAAGATAAAGAATCACACATAAAGTGGGAGTTGTCACAGTTACTCTTTGCTGATGACACTGTGCTCTTGGGAGATTCTGAAGAGAAGTTGCAGAGATTGGTGGATGAATTTGGTAGGGTTTGCAAAAGAAGAAAATTAAAAGTGAATACAGGAAAGAGTAAGGTTATGAGGATAAAAAAAAGATTAGTTGATGAAAGATTGGATATCAGATTGGAGGGAGAGAGTATGGAGGAGGTGAATGTATTCAGATATTTGGGAGTGGACGTGTCAGCGGATGGGTCCATGAAAGATGAGGTGAATCATAGAATTGATGAGGGGAAAAGGGTGAGTGGTGCACTTAGGAGTCTGTGGAGACAAAGAACTTTGTCCTTGGAGGCAAAGAGGGGAATGTATGAGAGTATAGTTTTACCAATGCTCTTATATGGGTGTGAAGCATGGGTGATGAATGTCGCAGCGAGGAGAAGGCTGGAGGCAGTGGAGATGTCATGTCTGAGGGCAATGTGTGGTGTGAATATAATGCAGAGAATTCGTAGTTTGGAAGTTAGGAGGAGGTGCGGGATTACCAAAACTGTTGTCCAGAGGGCTGAGGAAGGGTTGTTGAGGTGGTTTGGACATGTAGAGAGAATGGAGCGAAACAGAGTGACTTCAAGAGTGTATCAGTCTGTAGTGGAAGGAAGGTGGGGTAGGGGTCGGCCTAGGAAAGGTTGGAGGGAGGGGGTAAAGGTGGTTTTGTGTGCGAGGGGCTTGGACTTCCAGCAGGCATGCGTGAGCGTGTTTGATAGGAGTGAATGGAGACAAATGGTTTCTAATACTTGATGTGCTGTTGGAGTGTGAGCAAAGTAACATTTATGAAGGGGTTCAGGGAAACCGGCAGGCCAGACTTGAGTCCTGGAGATGGGAAGTACAGTGCCTGCACTCTGAAGGAGGGGTGTTAATGTTGCAGTTTAAACTGTAGTGTAAAGCACCCTTCTGGCAAGACAGTGATGGAGGAAATGATGGTGAAAGTTTTTCTTTTTCGGGCCACCCTGCCTTGGTGGGAATCGGCCAGTGTGATAATAATAAAAAAATTTTGGTTATAGCATGATTGATGAATTGTGGCATATTTTTGTTTAACACTTTGTAAAATCAATTTAACACGGTTGGTGGAGAGGAAAAAATTTTGAGTGCGCAGTCTCTCACGGGGCGGGACAGGCTGTGGGTTACATCACTGAGTCAACAGGGGAAACCTATCGCCATCTCCCGCCAGCATCAGCCACCTCCACCACCCTCCCAGCCTTCAGTTCAGTTCATACGTGTGTTGGACGAACCTGTGCCAGTAGCTCGCTGTGTTTGTTTAGATACGTATTAATTGCTATATCTTAACATGACTCACGAAATCGTAATGACACGATTCCAAACAAACCATACCACAGGTGGGAATAGAACCCGAGATCAGAGTCTCAAAACTCCAGACCATCGCGTTAGCCACTGGACCAGCTAGCCACAATAAGATTTGTCCAACTATATTTCTAAACCATAGGGAGGTTAGCAAACCTTCCTATGGTGTAGAAATATACCTAGTTGGGCGAATATTATTGTGGCTAGCTGGTCCAGCGGCTAACGCGACGGTCTGGAGTTTTGAGACTCTGATTGGGGGTTCTATCCCTGCCCGTGGTATGGTTTGCTATATCTTAAATCTGCCAAGTAATCATTGCACCCAGTAGGCATACAAGTGTTGCTGAAAGTTGCAAGAAAAGGTTCAAGCATTTAAGTCTTAGAGTTAACAAAGAAAATAGAGATATTAGACAGAATGAAGTGTCATTTTGTACACAAAAAGAATGAGGTAAATATGAGTTTGTGTGATGACTGACTGACTGACTCACTTACTGACTGAATTACTGACTTGACTGACTGAATGACTTGACTGACTGAATGACTTGACTGGTTGACTGACTGACGTGAGTGAATGACTCCACTGACTGAATGATTTGACTGACTTACTGAATGACTTGATTGACTTACTGAATGACTTAAAGTTAGATTTTTTCACTGAAGAGGACCCTGAAACGATGTCTAGAGTAGCTAATGTCTTACCGTCAATTGTATAATGTACTATAGGGTAAATTATTATTTGTCATCATCACACTGGAAGATTCCCACCAAGGCAGGGTGGCCCGAAAAAGAAAAACTTTCACCATCATTCACTCCATCACTGTCCTGCCAGAAGGGTGCTTTACACTACAGTTTTTAAACTGCAACATTAACACCCCTCCTTCAGAGTGCAGGCACTGTACTTCCCATCTCCAGGACTCAAGTCCAGCCTGCCGGTTTCCCTGAACCCCTTCATAAATGTTACTTTGCTCACACTCCAACAGCACGTCAAGTATTAAAAACCATTTGTCTCCATTCACTCCTATCAAACACGCTCACGCATGCCTGCCGGAAGTCCTAGCCCCTCGCACACAAAACCTCCTTTACCCCCTCCCTCCAACCTTTTCTAGGCCAACCCCTACCCCACCTTCCTTCCACTACAGACTGATATACTCTTGAAGTCACTCTGTTTCGCTTCATTCTCTCTACATGTCCGAACCACCTCAACAACCCTTCCTCAGCTCTCTGGACAACAGTTTTGGTAATCCCGCACCTCCTCCTAACTTCCAAACTACGAATTCTCTGCATTATATTCACACCACACATTGCCCTCAGACATGACATCTCCACTGCCTACAGCCTTCTCCTTGCTGCAACATTCATCACCCATGCTTCACACCCATATAAGAGCATTGGTAAAACTATACTCTCATACATTCCCCTCTTTGCCTCCAAGGACAAAGTTCTTTGCCTCCACAGACTCCTAAGTGCACCACTCACCCTTTTTCCCTCATCAATTCTATGATTCACCTCATCTTTCATAGACCCATCCACTGACACGTCCACTCCCAAATATCTGAATACGTTCACCTCCTCCATACTCTCTCCCTCCAATCTGATATCCAATCTTTCATCACCTAATCTTTTTGTTATCCTCATAACCTTACTCTTTCCTGTATTCACTTTTGATTTTCTTCTTTTGCACACCCTACCAAATTCATCCACCAATCTCTGCAACTTCTCTTCAGAATCTCCAAAGAGCACAGTGTCATCAGCAAAGAGCAACTGTGACAACTCCCACTCTATGTGTGATTCTTTATCTTTTAACTCCACGCCTCTTGCCAAGACCCTTGCATTTACCTCTCTTACAACCCCATCTATAAATATATTAAACAACCACGGTGACATCACACATCCTTGTCTAAGGCCTACTTTTACTGGGAAATAATTTCCCTCTTTCCTCACTATCTTATCTCACTATCCTCGTAAAAACTCTTCACTGCTTTCAGTAACCTACCTCCTAAACCATACACCTGCAACATCTGCCACATTGCCCCCCTATCCACCCTGTCATACGCCTTTTCCAAATCCATAAATGCCACAAAGACCTCTTTAGCCTTATCTAAATACTGTTCACTTATATGTTTCACTGTAAACACCTGGTCCACACACCCGCTACCTTTCCTAAAGCCTCCTTGTTCATCTGCTATCCTATTCTCCGTCATACTCTTAATTCTTTCAATAATAACTCTACCATACACTTTACCAGGTATACTCAACAGACTTATCCCCCTATAATTTTTGCACTCTCTTTTGTCCCCTTTGCCTTTATACAAAGGAACTATGCATGCTCTCTGCCAATCCCTAGGTACCTTACCCTCTTCCATACATTTATTAAATAACTGCACCAACCACTCCAAAACTATATCCCCACCTGCTTTTAACATTTCTATCTTTATCCCATCAATCCCGGCTGCCTTACCCCCTTTCATTTTACCTACTGCCTCACAAACTTCCCCCACACTCACAACTGGCTCTTCCTCACTCCTACAAGATGTTATTCCTCCTTGCCCTATACACGAAATCACAGCTTCCTTATCTTCATCAACATTTAACAATTCCTCAAAATATTCCCTCCATCTTCCCAATACCTCTAACTCTCCATTTAATAACTCTCCTCTCCTATTTTTAACTGACAAATCCATTTGTTCTCTAGGCTTCCTTAACTTGTTAATCTCACTCCAAAACTTTTTCTTATTTTCAACAAAACTTGTTGATAACATCTCACCCACTCTCTCATTTGCTCTCTTTTTACATTGCTTCACCACTCTCTTAACCTCTCTCTTTTTCTCCATATACTCTTCCCTCCTTGCATCACTTCTACTTTGTAAAAACTTCTCATATGCTAACTTTTTCTCCCTTACTACTCTCTTTACATCATCATTCCACCAATCGCTCCTCTTCCCTCCCGCACCCACTTTCCTGTAACCACAAACTTCTGCTGAACACTCTAACACTACATTTTTAAACCTACCCCATACCTCTTCGACCCCATTGCCTATGCTCTCATTAGCCCATCTATCCTCCAATAGCTGTTTATATCTTACCCTAACTGCCTCCTCTTTTAGTTTATAAACCTTCACCTCTCTCTTCCCTGATGCTTCTATTCTCCTTGTATCCCATCTACCTTTTACTCTCAGTGTAGCTACAACTAGAAAGTGATCTGATATATCTGTGGCCACACTATAAACATGTACATCCTGAAGTCTACTCAACAGTCTTTTATCTACCAATACATAATCCAACAAACTACTGTCATTTCGCCCTACATCATATCTTGTATACTTATTTATCCTCTTTTTCTTAAAATATGTATTACCTATAACTAAACCCCTTTCTATACAAAGTTCAATCAAAGGGCTCCCATTATCATTTACACCTGGCACCCCAAACTTACCTACCACACCCTCTCTAAAAGTTTCTCCTACTTTAGCATTCATGTCCCCTACCACAATTACTCTCTCACTTGGTTCAAAGGCTCCTATACATTCACTTAACATCTCCCAAAATCTCTCTCTCTCCTCTACATTCCTTTCTTCTCCAGGTGCATACACGCTTATTATGACCCACTTTTCACATCCAACCTTTTCCACTTCCCCATGGACAATAGAAGAAATAAAGAAGAACAAGAGCTATTTAGAAAAAGGAGAAAAACCTAGATGTATATACATATGCATGTGCGTGTCTGTGAAGTGTGACCAAAGTGTAAGTAGGATAAAATAGAACAGAAATCCCTTACAGAATTTGTGCACACTCCAGTACAACCATCGACTTCAGTACCAGAACCTCTACCATCCACCTCAGCCCAGTAGGACCACAGCATAACTCTCCACTCTCTTCACAATCATCCACAAACACCAGCACCCACAATTTAAGGTAAGAAATACTATTATTTCTGTTGCATCTGTAATCTTATGCATAAAAACAACATAATACATCACGATAATGAACTACAATTACATATTCACTTTCATTTTTGTAAGATCTGTTGGTCAAAAAAAAAATTGTTTGGCTCTTTGGGGGCACCTAGGAATGTAACCCTATTTTTCCCCTCGAGTTCTTCATTTTGTCTAACATGGTTCTGCCTAACACGGCGTTTTCAGGAATATAACTATCGTGTTCAACAACGGTCTACTGTACGTGCTTTCAAATGTAAAAAAAAGTAGATCTACGTTCGGAGCGCTACGCAAGTGAACACAGATCTATGTTGGGACAGTTTAACTCTTATACTGTCCAAGTGTAAATCTACATCCATGTGCGGGGGGCTCCGAACGTAGATCTACTTTTCTTTTTACATGCTTTCAAATGGGGAAAATCAAGGTTGGAGCACTATGCACGTGAACGTAGATCTACGTTTGGACAAGTTTAAGGATTAAGGGTTAAGAACAGTAGCTCTGTTTCATTCCTCACGTTGATTTTTTTTTTTTCCACAGTTGTGTGCCAGCTTATTAATGTGGATACTTCTTCTTGCAATGCCTACTGCACCTGCTGCAGATACAGTACTAACCATAAGAAATGAACAACACTTCCCTTACCTTCTGATTTATGAGATCCATAAGCATGTGTTTGTTCCAGAAAAAATAGTCATTAGCTCTATGCCAAAGTGGCTGACTAGCATCATAGGAAGATTCACTTTGCCGCTGTAAAGAGCTCGTAAGATCTGCTTCGCAGGAGTAGTAGAAGGAGTCAGAGTCATTAAACATCTTCATCAACTCGTCCAAAACTCTTCTTTCATACCGTTCTTTGTCCCTTCCATCCCGCCGAGCCCTATTACCCTGGAACATATTTACACAGTCAAAACTTTAACCAACAAGGAAAGCTGTATGTAGAAGAAGAAGAATTATTAGAACAAAGAACCCGCTGTTAAAAAGTTTGCAAAACAAATGATTACCATTTCTTCTCAGTCAATGCTTCGATGTGTATCACTAACATATCACTCATTCAATATTGTTCTTAGAGTAGCTGCAAATTAAAAGTATGTGAAGAAGCTAACAGAATCTTTGGCTTCATATCTAGAAGTATAAATAATAGAAGTCCTCAGGTTGTTCTTCAACTCTATATACCCTTGGTTAGGCCTCATTTAGATTATGCTGCCCAGTTCTGGTCACCATATTACAGAATGGATATAAACGCACTGGAAAACGTACAGAGGAGGATGACAAAGTTGATCCCATGTATCAGAAATCTTCCCTATGAGGATAGACTGAAGGCCTTGAATCTGCACTCTCGAAAGGCGTAGAATTAGGGGGGATATGATCGAGGTGTATAAATGGAAAGCGGGAATAAATAAAGGGGACGTAAATAGCGTGCTGAAAATTTCCAGCCAAGATAGGACTCACAGCAATGGTTTCAAGTTGGAAAAATTCAGATTCAGGAAGAATATAGGAAAGCACTGGTTTGGTAATAGAGTTGTGGATGAGTGGAACAAACTCCCCAGTACAGTTATAGAGGCTAAAACATTGTGTAGTTTTAAAAATAGGTTAGATAAATACATGAGTGGGTGTGGGTGGGTGTGAGTTGGACCTGACTAGCTTGTGCTACTAGGTCTGATGCCTTGCTCCTTCCTTAAGTGGAAGTGACCTGACTAAGTGGGCTAATCTGGGGAAGGGGGAATGACCTGCTTCACATGGGTCAGTAGACCTGCTGCAGTGTTCCTTTCTTATTTTCTTATGATACATAACCCTAGGATAATTTACTCTTCAAAGAGCACATTCTTTTACTGATAGTATAATACAGTGGTACCCTGAGTTTCAGTCATAACTAGTTCCAGAAGGCTGTTCCAATGCTGTTACTGAACAAATTTGTTCCCATAAGGAATAATGTAAACTAAATTAGACCGTTTCAGACCCCCAAAAATACACTTACAAAAGCACTAACAATAATACACTTACATAATTGTTTGAGTTGGGAGCTGTCCGAAACTCGGGGTACCACTGTATTAGTACAGTGGACCCCCGGATTAAGACATCATCGGATTAAGGAATAACTGGATTAACCCTTTCAGGGTTGACAGGCCCTCTCCCAGACTTGTTCTCAGGGTCGCCAAATTTTCAAAAAAAAAAAAAAAAAAAAAAAAAAAAAAAAAAAAAAAAAAAAAAAATTGTTTTATGAGAGATAGAGAATATTTTCCTGATCATAATGACACCAAAAGTATGAAATTTGATGGAAAACTTACGGAATTATGCTCTCACGAAGTTAGCGGTCTCGACAATGTTTATGCATCGGCGATTTTGCCCACTTTGAGCCCTATTTTGGGTCAATTCCAATGTACTAGTCGACAAAAATCATAACTTTCGCTAGAACTCCATTTTTTCTATCGAATGAGTACAAGAAACCACCCATTTACTGATTTCAACTATCCAATAAAGTGGTCAGAATTTAACAATTTTGCCAATTTCACACAAATTTCAAAAGATGCCAATTTCCAAATAGGGTCCAGAATAAACAAGAAAGACATTCCTGGCACTAAAATAACATTTCCTCTGTTCATTAGTCACATCCCCAGGCGCATCTTACATTTCTTTTGCTTTCCACTTTGAAATTTTATTCTCACAAAAAATAGAAGATTTACTGTTATGCAGACTACTGCATTAGTGTAGAAATGGTATAAATAATATCAGCGCACTTGTAAAAGAATATCAGATTCACCAGCTGACGTGTACTGGACGCGTGGCATGATTTGTTTACTTTTGAACTTTGGTAAAAATCGAACATTTCTGCTACTTTGAGCTCAATTTCAAGGTACCTTTCATTATGAAACCAATCAAAATTGTCTCAATTTCCGTAATACGTCTTCCATTCTATAAAATAAGACCAGGAAAACTAGAATACAACCATAAATACCATAGGAAAATACAGTGCAAAGTCGCTGTTTTAAACCAAAAACACGGTCAAAGTTTTTTTTTTTTCTCATTATGCACTGTGTGCTGCAGGATTTTTTTTATACTGCGCACACTGACCACATAGACCCATTCTTTCATATGTAGGCCTACCAGCTTTCTCTTGCTAGATTTGAGGGCGCTAAAATTTATACGTACTAGTACGTCAAAAACCCTGGCGCATAAGCCGTACTAGTACGTCGGAAACCCTGAAAGGGTTAAGTAATGTTTTTGCATCAAAATATTGGCTCGGTTAACAACACTGAACTCAGTAAAAGTCATTCGTCCTGAACATGTCTGCGTGCTGTGAACGGCCTGGACACTCCATGTACAGCCAGTGTGCCATTGTTTACCAGCCAGTGAGGAAGATTCCACGCATACATGCGATACATTTTGTATTATTCCATTGTTTTTAGTGCTTGTAAATGCTAAATAAGCCACCATGGGTCCAAAGAAAGCTTCTAGTGCCAGCCCTTTGGTAAAGAGGGTGAGAAACACTATAGAATTCAAGAAAAAGATCATCGCAAAATACAAAAGTGGAGTGTGTCTCCGAGCTGGCCAGGTTGTATAACAAACCCCATACAACCACTGCTACTATCTTGGTCAAGAAAAAGGCAATCAAGGAAGCTGTTGTTGCAAAAGGTGCAAATATGCTTACAAAACAGAGATCGCAAATAATCGAAGATGTGGAGACTTTGTTGTTGGTGTGGATCAATGAGAAACAATTATCAGGAGATAGTGTTATGCAGTCAATTATATGTGAAAAGGCAAGGCAGCTGCATGATAATCTCATCAAGAAAATGCCTGGAACTAGTGCTCATATTGGTGAATTTAAGGCCAGCAAAGGCTGGTTTGAGAGATTTAAGAATCATGGTGGCATACACAGTGTGATAACGCATGGTGAGGCTGCCAGTTCTGACAAAACAGCGGCTGAAAAATATGTTTAGGACTTCAAGGGGTACATAGAAACTGAAAAATTAAAACCCCAACAAGTGTTCAATTGTGACAAAACAGGCCTGTTTTGGAAGAAAATGCCAAAGAGGATCTACATTACTCAGGAGGAAAAGGCACTGCCAGGACACAAGCCTATGAAAGACAGGCTAACTCTCATGTTTTGTAGTAATGCTAGTGGAGATTTGAAAGTGAAGCCTTTACTGTGTATCACTCTGAAAATCCTAGTGTTTTCAAGAAAAACAGTGCCGTCAAGAGTAAACTGTGTGTGATGTGGAGGGCAAACAGTAAGGCATGGGTCACAAGGGACATTTGCCTCTATTGGTTCCATGACATGTTTGGCCCCAGTATGAAAAAATACCTCCTGGAAAATAAATTGGAACTCAAGTGCCTCCTGGTAATGGACAATGCTCCTGCTCATCCTCCAGCCTTAGAGGAGTGAATGGTGCCAGAGTTTCGTTTTATCAAAGTGAAGTTTTTGCCTCCTAATACCACTTCTCTCCTCCAGCCCATGGACCAGCAGGTCCTTTCAAATTTCAAAAAAATGTACACCAAAGCAGTGTTTCAAAAGTGCTTTGAAGTGACCTCAGACACTGAACTGACCCTGTCAGAGTTCTGGAAAGATCACTTCAGTATCCTCAGTTGCATAAACCTTATAGGTAAAGCTTGGGAGGGAGTGACTTGCAGGACTTTGAACTCTGCTTAGAGAAAACTGGCCAGAATGTGTACGAGAGGGATTTTGAAGGGTTTGGAGCTGACCCTGAGGAGCCTATGCCAGTTGTGGAATCTATTATGGTATTAGGGAATTCCATGGGGTTGGAAGTGAGTTTGGAGAATGTGGAAGAGTGGGTGGAGGACCACGATGAAGAGCTGACCACTACAGAGCTGCAAGAGTTTCATGTGCAACACCAACAGACCACAGCTCAAGAATTTGCTTCAGAGGAGGAGAAAGAGAGATGGAGGAAGTTGCCTTCTTCAAAGATTAAGGACATTTGTTCAAGGTGGAGTGAGGTGCAAACATTTATGGATGAACATCACCCTAATACAGCTGTTGCAAGCTGTGCTGGCAACATGTACAATGACAATGTTGTGTCCCATTTCTGGGAAATCTTAAAGACACGCCAGAAACAGAGCTCTCTGGACAGATATTTTGTGCAACAGGGGTCCAGTGACTCTGAAGCTATCCCTAGTAGCATTTAAAAACAAAGGGAAGTGACCCCAGAAAAGGACTTGGTACCTGAAGTCTTTATGGAAGGGGATTCCCCTTCCAAACAATATTACATCTCCATCCTCTCCCCTCCTCCCGTCTCATCACTCATCAATAAGTCTTCAATAAAGGTGTCATTTTAGTATTGTTTATTCTGCATGTCTCATTGTTTTCTGTGTAGGGAAATACATATTTCATGTAAAAACATTATTTTGTTTAAAACTTTTGGGTGTCTGGAACGGATTAATTGGATTTCCATTATTTCTTATAAGGAAAATTAATTCGGAATAAGTCAGATTCGGGTTAAGTCACTCTTTCTGGAACAGATTAATTTTGTAATCCAGGGGTCCACTGTACTGTTAAAGATATCAAAATGTATTCATAACTCAATAAAGTGCCACCTTTTTTTTTTTTTCAACGATATGGCCATATCCCACTGAGGCAGGGTGACCTAAAAATAAAAAAAAAAATTTTTTAATTCAGTAATTTATACAGAAGGGGTTACTAGCCCCTTGCTCCTGGCATTTTTAGTCGCCTCTTATGATACACATGGCTTACGGAGGAAGACTTCTTTTCCACTTCAACCTTATCAATATAATTTTTACTAAGTATGCATCTCCCATAAAATAACTGGAAAGGTTTACTTTGACAAATTGTGATAAAAGGTTTACTTCTGCATCCAAAGATAGGGAAGCCTCTCATTTATTAGTCTAAGCTTAAAATAACAAAGAAACTATTACCTGTCCAGTTGCTGTTACTGCAGCATTAACTGTAGCAGTTTTGATCGTTGATGTAACACTACGAATAGTGCCAAATGTTTTAGAGAGTGCGACCTTCTGTTGCAAGTCTCCAAAAGGCAAACCTAGCTTTCGCTCTCCTGCACCACTGTAAGATAAGAAATAATACTGTACAATGATATAGTCCTGTGTCCTGTAGCTTGATTGCTAGCGCACTCGGCTCACACACTGAGGTCCGGGGTTCGATCCCCGGTATGGCTGGAAAATGTCAGGACGTGTTTCCATAAGACACCTGCTGTCCATGTTCAACCATCAGTAAAATGGATGCCTGGGTGTTACTTGATTGCTGTGGGTTGCATCCTGGGACAAAATTGACCTAATTTGTCCAAAATGCTCTGCATAATAAGGTGCTTTCTATATACTAATAGTAAAGTATGTCACTGATGTCAGCTAGGCCTGAATACCTTGCACATGTACCTGTAGAAATAAAGATACGTATTATTACTATTATTATTATTATTACACAATACACAAATAACCCGCACATAAAAGAGAGAAGCTTACGACGACATTTCGGTCCGACTTGGACCATTGACAAAGTCACACTAACAGAGGTGGAGCAGGACGGCTATATACAGGCAGGAAGAGGTGGAGGTAGTAGTAGTAGTAGTATCATGCTTCCCCTGTCAAGAAAAGTGTTCTTATCTCCCTCTTTCTCCGTGCCCTCCGCATCTGTGATCCTCAGTTCCTTTCAGCAGAAATTTCCACTCTTCATAATTCGTTCTCCCGTCTTGGCTACCCTTCCCATTTCATAGACTCTGCCCTCTCACGTGCTAAACGCAATTTCTTCTCTCCCAAACTCTCTACTCATGGGAACTCTTCTATCCTCTGCCTTCCCTACATTTCCAGTCTTTCTAATCTCAACAATTCTCTCCGTCCCTTAGACATCAAGCTTACCTTCCGCCAGACTAACACTCTTCGCACTAATCTCGTTCATACCTCTCCTCCCTCTACGGATGTTCCTGGTGTCTACTCTATTTCTTGCTCCTCCTGTCCTCTTCAATACTTCGGAGAAACTGGTCGATCTCTTTCTGACAGACTTAGGGACCACAAAAATAGTGTTAGGCTTGCCGACACTAACAATGCTCTTTTCTGTCACGTCAGAGATCATAGCCATCCTATTGACTGGTCTTCTGCTAAAACTGTCTTCCCTACTTCCAACTCGAACAGTCGCCGTTTAGTTGAATCCTCTCTTATACACAACTTTCCTTGTATGAACCTTAGCCCTGGCTTCGTCTCTGTAGATGCCTTCCTCTCCCACTACATTGTAAAATGCTCCAAACTTCAGAACACCCGTGACTTAACCTGAATCCTCATTATTATTATTATTATTATTATTTCTTCTTCTTCTTCTTCTTCTTCTTCTTCTTCTTTCTTCTTCTTCCCCCTTCTTCTTCCCCCTTCTTCTTCCCCCTTCTTCTTCCCCCTTCTTCTTCCCCCTTCTTCTTCCCCCTTTCTTCTTCCCCTTTCTTCTTCCCCTTTCTTCTTCCCCTTTCTTCTTCCCCTTTCCTCTTCCCCTTTCCTCTTCCCCTTTCCTCTTCCCCTTTCCTCTTCCCCTTTCCTCTTCCCCTTTCCTCTTCCCCTTTCCTCTTCCCCTTTCCTCTTCCCCTTTCCTCTTCCCCTTTCCTCCTCTGGGTTGTCTTTCTCTCTCCTGTCTCGTGTTTCTGTTCCTTCTTCATTTATTTTATTTCACCACTTCCCCTTTCACGCACCTCGGTGCGCTTGCTCTCCCTCTGTGGGTTTCTAGCTCTCTTGCAGTGCTCCCCTTCCTTTGTATTTGACTGGCTCGTCTTCCTTATTTCCCACTTCTACCACTACCATTACTACTACCTCTTCTTCTTCTACTACAACTACTGATGAAATTAAGACACATGTGCGGCGTCTGGTTGTCTTTGTTGTGGACGTTTCGCCATCCAGTGGCTGGCTGGATGGCGAAACATCTACGGTGGGGATGCCCGGGTGTTGTGCATGTGTCATTTCATCCTGTCGGTAGTATATACATTTCTTGTACTACTACTACTACTACTACCTCCACCTCTTCCTGCCTATATATAGCCGTCCTGCTCCACCTCTGTTAGTGTGACTTTGTCAATGGTCCAAGTCAGACCGAAACGTCGTCGTAAGCTTCTCTCTTTTATGTGCGGGTTATTTGTGTATCGTTCCAGTCACGGTATTGTGCCTTTTTGTTATTTAGTTAATTATTATTATTATTATTATTATTATTATTATTACTATTCTTTCAACAAACCGGCCATATCCCACCAAGGCAGGGTGGCCCAAAAAGAAAAACCTAAGTTTCTCTTTTTAAATTTAGTAATTTATAGAGAAGGGGTTACTAGCCCTTTGCTCATTATTATTATTATTATTATTATTATTATTATTATTATTATTATTATTATTATTATTATTATTATTATTATATATCCTTTATAGAGATACACAATGTTGCGTTCACATGTAGAGGTACTCTGTAGGAGTACCTCAAGGTAGTGTCCTAGGCCCACTCCTCTTTCTCATCTACATCAATGATCTCCCCAATGCATCCCAACTCCTTACACCAGTTCTATTCGCAGATGACACTACATATGTCTACTCCCATTCAGACCCAGCTGTGCTTGAAAACACTGTAAACAATGAACTGCTAAAGATATATGCTTGGATGATGAGAAACAAACTAACTCTCAACATAGACAAAACATACTTCATACTGTTTGGCAACAGAGCCTCAAATATTCAATTCAACATACTGTTAAATGGTACCCCTATATCAAGACACACGGAGGGCAAATTTCTAGGTCTTCTCCTTGACTGTAATCTTAAATTTCAGTCCCATACCCATCACATAGACAAGAAAATTTCCAAATCAGTAGGAATCCTTTCCAAGATACACTACTATGTACCACAAACGACTCTTCTTACCCTGTACCACCACTTACCTCACCTATAGTATCTGTGCCTGGGGCTCAACCACTGCCAACCACCTAAGACCCTTAATAATCCAACAAAAAACTGCTGTGTAGGCGATAAGAGCTCCTGTGCTAGACAGCACACCCCACCACTTTTCAAAAGACTCAACTTGCTAAATATACAAGACATACACTCTTATTATTGTGCCTATTACATATACAGAACTTTAAACTCCACTGTAAACCCTCCCCTAAAACTACTACTCGACAGTTACAACAGAATGCACAGTCACAATACAAGGCATAAGGCACTTTTCAACATCCCTCGAATAAGATTCTCACTATGCAAGAACGCTATGCACATAAAAAGGCCCAAAGATCTGGAACTCACTACCGGAACAGGTCAAGGATCCCCAGACACCTTACAAATTTAGGACTCTGCTAAAAAATAATCTTATCTCACAATATTAGCCAAATCAACCAAACATCTACTGACTAGTTTTATCATGTGACTACCTGACTTTTAATTCTGCCATTCCATAAAATATTACCACCTGCACCATTCCTTGTAAATTATATTTTGTACTAAGTATACATAAGATTTATTAGTCCAGATAAGATTGTAAAACAGCTAACCACTATTCCATGTTTAGTTTTAAGTATAATTACTATGTGCCATTCTCTTATCTAGTTTTAATTAGTTACCATATATTTGGATTAGTTTGCCCGAAATGTCTCGGCATGATAGCGGCTATCTTTGTACTTAACAAATCAAAATTGTAATTACACAGTATAACCTTTACAAAGAAATAAACTTATTATTATTATTATTATTATTAATCCACTTCAGAAAGTTCACTATTTGTGAACAAAACATGCACCTCTACAAATAAAAGTTCTCTTGTTTTCTTGTATTTTTTATTACTATTTGTTGGCTCTTGTCACAATTTCACCTACTGTAATCACAATTAACAATACACTGACATTCTTATCACACTGACTTACATGAAACCTTTGAACAAATAAAATTTACAAGTACATATATAAAATGACCTTTACCATGAGCGGAAATGAAAAATACAATTACATGTATTCATAAAAAGAACTACAGTTTATAATCAAAACATCTTAAACTGCTATGATATTGAACACCCCCATCTTATAGCATTATGAAGAAACATTAGCAAAAATGCAGGTACTATATACTACAGTATATAACCACTATTACATCAGCACAAGGACAAGGATGTTTCCCACACATTAATCTATACATAATACACTACATAGATTAAAGTACTATTTAAATGGTCTTAATCTTTCCCCATATTCTAAAGCTTACCCAGCAGGATGATTCACATGTTTTCGACATGGCTGCAGATTTAACTCTGTGTCAGGTGGTGCAGACAAGGGCAGAAAAATTACACGCGTTATGCAGTACACAAACTGACCTTCCCCTAGCATGCCAACTTTGCGCACTCCAGATACCAATACCAATCTCGGAGACAGGTCTGGGAAAACAATGTGTATTACCAAAAATGTACAGTATTATACTCTGGGATCCTCCTCAATTCAGATTAATGAACAGAGTTAAAAAGTACATTAAGGAGAATTTATGGGAAATAAATGTTATTGGTAGGTCATATGATCCGATCTTTTGCTTCAGCCTTTAAAGAAATTGCATCTGTTACTGTGCTAAGTCTAAATTCTCTTTTTAAACAACTTCAGTGAGAATTTGGTGGCTAGTTAACATTTCTTCATATGTCCCTAAACCCATGTCAACTGAAACTAAAATTTCCCTGTGGTGCTCAGTAAATTTAACAATATGAAGAGGAAGATTCTTATGCAGCGAGATATTCAGCAGAGTTTGTGGAACTCACACATTCTGCTGAATATCCAGAAATCAAACATTTTCCTCTTTGACAAAAAAAAAAGGGGGGGGGGGGAACCATAATTAATGCATTAAAGAGAGACATAAAGTGGTATATGCTAAAACTGTATAAAGATAAAAGGATAAACCAGTCATAAGCATATAACCACATAACAGTAAAATAAAATATACCCAGTACCCTTATTAAAAATTAAAAGTGGTAGTATAAGTCCATTCCACTTGAGGTATTCTGTAAATTAATATATTATTTTACATGTCAATTCTGTCATGTACACTGTGCAGTAGTATTCTCCAAATATTCCTAGTACGTACTATAACCTCAATAGGAATGGTAAGGGAGACTTTATTCAGTTACACTATAACAGCTAAATCATTACTGAATAATGGTGATAGAGAATCATTAAAGATGATAGCACTTCTGTGGTGATAACAATGGACCACTGTACTGTACTTGCATGACAAGCTGTGGTGACAGTGGAAAATTGTAATGGCCTACACCTTTATCCCCATCAAAGTTATCTTATGACTGTGTTATGGGGTTCTAAGTGCTATTAAATCTCATCACTCAGAACCTTCACTTTGTTCCTCAGTACCTGCACATCGCCACTCATTACCTGCACCTTGTCCCTCACTATCTTCACCTCATCACTCAGTATTTGCACCTCACCATTCATTACCTGCACCTTGTCCCTCACTATCTTCACCTCATCACTCAGTACTTGCACATCATCACTCAGAGCCTTCACCTCATCACTCAGTATCTTCACCTCATTACTCAGTAACTTCACCCCATCATTCAGTATCTTCACCCCATCACTCAGTATCTTCACCCCATCACTCAGTATCTTCACCCCATCACTCAGTATCTTCACCCCATCACTCAGAATCTTCACCTCATCACTCAGAATCTTTACCTCATCTTAATACCATTGAAACAATATAAGCCATTAAAGTACCCCTTTCCCTTGAAGGAAGCATGGATCGTTCCTTTTCTAGCTTGCTTCCCAGCAGCCCACAGGACATAATCCTCACTCACCTGGATGGATCTGCAGCTTTCCCAAAAGAAGATGAATGATACCAAGACATGTTGGATTTTCTGCAGCAGCTAAATCCCAACCTGGAAAATGGAAGACTATGCAGTATAGTAACTGACAACGTCCGTCAATAAAATGCACAGGTGCTCCTTGACTTATGATGGGGTAACGCTCCGACAAACCCATTGTAAGTCAAAAATATCGTAAGCTGAATATAGTTTTGGAGTGGTTGGTGCTATTATTTAATAAATGTATGAAAGAGGGTAAGGTATCAAGGGACTGGCAGAGAGTGTGCATAGTTCCTCTGAATAAAGGCAAAGAGGACAAAGGCAGTGCAAAAATTATAGGAGAATAAGTCTGTTGAGTATACCTAGTAAAGTGTATGGTAGTTATTACTGAAAGAATTAAGAGTAAGAGAGTATGACAGCAGATGAACAAGGAGGTTTTAAGAAAGGTAGGGGGTTTGTGGCTAAGTGTTTACAGTGAAACATATAGGTGAACAATATTCAGATAAGGTAAAGAGGTTTTTGTGGCATTTATGGATTTGGAAAAGGCATATGGCAGAGTGGATAGGGTTGCAATGTGGCAGATGCTGCAAGTGTATGGAATAGGAGGTAGGTTACTGAAAGCAGTGAAGAGTTTTTATGAGGATAGTGAGGCTCAGGTTAGAGTATGTAGGAGAGAGGGAGATTATTTCCCAGTAAAAGTAGGCCTTAGACAAGGATGTGTGATGTTACCATGGTTGTTCAATATACAGTGGACCCCCGCATAACGATGGCATCACATAGCGATTTTTCCGCATACCGCTTACTTTTATCGCAAAATTTTTGCCGCGCATACCGATTAAAAACCCGCTCACCGATTTTCGTCCGAGACGCGTCCAATGTGCCCTCAGCCAGCCTCACATGTGCCGCCCGTCCCATTGTTTACCAGCCAGCCTCCGCGGTAACATCCAAGCATACACTCGGAATATTTCGTATTATTACAGTGTTTTCGGTGCTGTTTCTGGAAAATAAGTGACCATGGGCCCCAAGAAAGCTTCTAGTGCCAACCCTGTGGTAAAAAGGGTGAGAATTAGTATGGAAATTAAGAAAGATTTTGAAGGGTTTGGGGCTAACCCTGAGAAGCCTATGCCAGTTGTGGAATCCATTGTGCCTACTTCAAAGATTAAGGAAATGTGTGCACAGTGGGTTGAACTGCAAACCTTTATGGATGAAAATCACCCTGACACAGCTGTTGCAAGCCGTGCTGGTGACTATTTCAATGACAATGTTGTGGCCCATTTTAGACAAATCGTAAAGGAACGGGAGGTACAGAGCTCTATGGACAGATTTGTTGTGCGACAGAGGTCCAGTGACTCTCAAGCTGGTCCTAGTGGCATTAAAAGAAGAAGGGAAGTAACCCGGAAAAGGACTTGCTACCTCAAGTCGTAATGGAAGGGGATTCCCCTTCTAAACAGTAAGAAGATAATGCTCTCCCCTCCTCCCATCCCATCAATCATCACCAGATCTTCAATAAAAGTAAGTGTCATGTAAGTGTGCATGCCTTTTTCAGTTTGTGTGTATTAAAATTAATATTTCATGTGGTAAAAAAATTTTTTTTTCATACTTTTGGGTGTCTTGCACGGATTAATTTTATTTCCATTATTTCTTATGGGGAAAATTCATTCACATAACGATTATTTCGCATAACAATTACCCCTCTTGCACGGATTAAAATCGTTAACCGGGGGTCCACTGTACAGTGTATTTATAGATGGGGTGGTAAAAGAAGTGAATGCGCAGGTGTTGGCAAGAGGTGTGGGGTTAAAAGATAAAGAATCTAACACAAAGTGGGAGTTGTCACAGTTGCTCTTTGCTGATGACACTGTGCTTCTGGGAGATTCTGAAGAGAAGTTACAAAGGCTGGTGGATGAGTTTGGTAGGGCATATAAAAGAAGAAAATTAAAAGTGAATATAGGAAAAAGTAAGGCGATGAGGATAACAAAAAAAATATAGGTTACGAAAGACTGGATATCAGATTGGAGGGAAAGAGTATGGAGGAGGTGAATGTATTCAGATATTTGGGAGTGTCAGCAGATGGGTCTATGAAGGATGAGGTGAATCACAGAACTGATGAGGGGAAAAGAGTGAGTGGAGCAGTTTGGAGTCAAAGAACTTTGTTCGTAGAAGCAAAGAGGGGAATGTATGAGAGTATAGTTATACCAACACTCTTATATGGGTGTGAAGCATGGGTGGTGAATACTGCAACAAGGAGAAGGCTGGAGGCAGTGGAGATGTCATGTCTGAGGGCAATGTGTGGTGTGAATATAATGTAGAGAATTCGTAGTTTGAAAATTAGGAGGTGCGGGATTACCAAAACTATTATCCAGAGGGCTGAGGAAGGGTTGTTGAGGTGGTTCGGACACGCAGAGAGGGTGGAACAAAATAGAATGACTTCGAGAGTGTAAAAATCTGTAGTGGAGGGAAGGTAGGGTAGGGTCGGCCTAGGAAAAGTTGGAGGGAGGGGGTAAAGGAGGTTGTGTGCGAGTGGCTTGGACTTCCAGCATGCATGCATGAGCATATTTGAGAGGAGTGAATGGAGACATACGGTTTTTAGGACTTGATGTGCTGTTGGAGTGTGAGCAGGGTAACATTTATGAAGGGATTAAGGCTGGACTTGAGTCCTGGAGATGGGAAGTACAGTGTCTGCACTCTGAAGGAGGAGTTTTAATGCTATAGTTTTATAACTGTAGTGTAAGCACACCTCTGGCAAGACAGTGATGGAGTGAATGATGACAAAAGTTTTTCTTTTTGGGGCCACTCTGCCTTGATGGGAAGCGACCGATGTGTTAACCCTTAAACTGTCCAAATGTAGATCTACGTTCACCTGCATAGCACTCCGAATATTTTGAAAAAAAAAAAAAAAAAAAAAAAAATTTAAATGAAGAGCTCATTTTTATAAATATTATAAGATAAAAAAAATTTTAGGGCCAGTACTTACCGAGATATAAGCCCACGAAGTTGGTGCTAAATGATGAGGTGCTGGCAACATGGAGCACTGCCACTTGCAGAAATAATAAACCTTTACCCTTTTTTTTCCAATTCTTTTCTATTTTTTGTTGTTTTCATGTTATGATGATAATGTTTTGTTGCAGATCTTTTGATTTCATAGTCATTCTTGTTGAGACACAATTGTTTGGTACTGAATTAGTAATCATACTGTCACAAACACACATGTTCACACTGATAGATGAATTTGTACACCTGGTTCAATCACATACTATTGTTTACATATAGTATATACAAGGTATTTACAGGTCCCATTTATGTTTCTGGAAGTCCACCACTGTATGATACTCCATGAAGCATGGATTCATACAGAGTGCCACCCCACATTGCTGACATATGAATCGTGTTTTTTCACACTTGGGGTCGCCTTGTAGCGTAACAACACACAACACACTTCTGTGCATACTTCTTCCTTGGGGTAGATGGTATCAGTATCAGTCAGTGACAGTTAGGGATTATTCAGTTGGGCACTTCCCCCTCTGGTTGTGGGGTGACAGGTTGCTGTTGTGGGGTGACAAGTCGCTGTGGAGTGGCAGGTACAGGTGTGGCACCATACTTTTTTGTTATCTGCTTGATGACCTTGAGGGTGAATTCCACGTATCGTTGTCACTTCCCAGTCTTTATTTCATACATGTTGAAGGCACTGAGCATTACAATGTCTACAAGGTGGAGAAACACTTTTATATACCACTTGCGACTCCTACGCACACAGTCAACAAACCCTCTCATCATGTCACACTTGTCGACTAGCAGCATATTGTTCATATAGTTGACACAGCAGCTGGCTTTACAATAGGTTCATTGTTGAACCTGCTCAGTCTGTCCGTCTGTACCATCTCGTTTCTGTGGATGAGTAACAGCAATGTCATATCCCGTTTGTCATGCCATGTCAGTGCCATGATGTCATTGGCATGAAACGCTTCCACTAGACTTGCTCCAGTGAACCTTGGCATGTGTTTTGTACTTCTTCTCATTGTTCCACATATATCAGTATTGTTCACACATAGGAAATCAACAAGCATAGGGCTTGTATACCAGTTGTCTGTGAACAATGTATGGCCCTTGCCCAGGTATGAGTCCATCATCTTGAGAACATCACCAGAAATGCCCAACATCTGCCTGGTATCGCCGAGTGCGTTTTTCCCTGTGTAGGTAATGACATCCAACACAAGACCAGTCTCACAGTCACACATAACAAAGTGTTTTATACCAAAGCGATTACATTTGCTTGGTATACTATATTGTTTGAACGACAATTGTCTCTTGAACTGAACCAAGGACTCATCAACAACAATGTTCTTGAATGGATAAAAGTAGGCACTGAATTTTTGCTTCAGATACATAAACAATTCCCGGATTTTTTACAGGAAGTCACTTCAGTTTGGTGTATTCCTGTCTGAGAAGTGCAACATTCGTAGCAACAGAGTGAATCCGTTGCAGGGAAGGTGGTCATGGAAGACTGGAGTGCTGATGAAGTAGTCTGTGGACCAGTAGTGTGCTATATTGTTCTTATATGTGTGTGGCATAAGCACGACAGTGCCAAGTTATAAATACACATTTCTGCCATAGTTGTATCTTTCCACCTGCACAGCCAGGATGATTCTGAAACATCTGTGTAGTACATGTTGGTCTGGGTAACAATCACATTCATTATTGGCTCATCAGAGCATAGCTGAAAGTAGTCTAACTCTGTAGACTCATTTGTGATGGGACAGTGTGGCATGATGCCACTTCCACTGGCATCAAAATTGAAAGGATGTGGCACGAATGGTGCACTTTCTGTCAAGTTCCATTCGTGGTCACCTGGTGCAGGATGGACCTGTGGCATGGGGCGTTGGAGAGCAAGAGGGACAAGTGTGGAGGCAGCACATGCTTGAGAGGGTGCTGGGCAGTCCTTTGTCTGCCCACCCACCACGCCCGAGGTACCATGCAACCCCCCTCTTCCTCCATCCCAGCATACTCTCCTTCATGATCTTTATCACCATCAGTGGCAGGGGTTTTGAATCATGACCTGCCACGGCCCTTGCCGACTG